ACCAATAATAAAAAAAAAAAAAAAAAAAAAAAAAAGAAAAGAAAAAAAAACCAAACTGCTAATATTATTCTAATGGGTACTGAAATTTGTTCTTAATTCAGGAGCAAGTATCCTGCAGACTTTTTCTGATCTTTTCTGCTTCACAGAGTGTTATATGGTACCCATTCCTATTTATATAGCTTTTTACAAACATGAAAACTAGTAACTGCTACATTTCAGAATTAAAAAATCGCTGGTAGGAGGTAGGGGACTATGCATATGTGGTAGGCAAGCTTTTTGTGGGAAATCTTGCTTTGACCTACACCTCTTTACTGGTGTACATGGTGATCTTTTCCTGAGCTCCCCTGAACAGAGAATACCAAGATGTTGCATTCAAGGTTATGGTGCAGATATGTGGTAAGTAGGAGCTGTCTGTCATGCACTTGGATGCCCTCCAGGGACACTAAATTACCTCTTTGCTAATTAAGGAGAGGGGACATGGGTTGTCTTTGTACTTGAATTTTTCCTCCCCTCCCCCCAAAGTTTCAGGGTAAGAATCTATTCTGAAAAGTAACCAGATTGCCCTTCGTTAATAAAAACAGTGCGTCTTGTGCCATTGCCTTACTGTGTCTTTTCTGAACTGGTTACGTTTATAATTTTTTTACGCTGGAAGTTATTGTGTATACATAATATACATACATAGAGACATAAATGGCCACCAGTCCCAGTATGGAGTCCAAGCATCCAACCAGTATCTTCTGGCTGGCTCATCAGTAGTAGTGGATCTATGATTTATTTATGAACTATGCTGCAGTAGTGCCCAGGTCTCCAGTCAGGGCCTCAGTATGCTGTACATACTAAAAATGGCAGCATCTGCTCCAGAGCATTGTCTTTCCACATGATGACATACAATAGTGGACTGGTTTTAAAACTGATAGAAAGGAAAAGAAGAAAGGGTGAGAGATCATGTATAATAGTGAGCCCATTCTAGGCACGGTATGCAGCAGTTTTGTCAGTTCTGGCTTGCACCTGAACAGCATGCTTGTTAACTTGTGCTGACTGACCGACTGAGCAGAATCCAGCTGGCTGTCTCATTGCTGCCTGGCTCTGAAGGATCTGTAGGAATGAAAAATAGTGAGCACTGCTTCCCGTCAGTACAACAAGCGGAACTGACTCTGATTACATATAAGTAGCGGTCGATGGAAAAGATGGTGGCGACTGACAGATGTTAATTTAAAGGACTTGGATCTGATTCCCAAGCCTAGCAATCACACCTCTTGCCATGCCGCGTGTATGGCAGGAGGTGCGATTTTGGGGATTGGGAATTGGATCTCAATCGTGCCGTGCTGGCTGGTGCAGGGAGCAAGCCGAAAGCTGTATGCCCAATGGTCAGTTAATCGTTGACTGGTTCTGGGGATCTACTGTGGCAGTTTGAGCCAGGCCCCAGCGCAGTCCTAGAGCCAGCCAATGATCTGCTGATCGTCAGCTGGCAGGGACTGCACCAGGACAGGTTCTGGCCTGCATGCCATCCCCCTACCACACATTCAATTTCGAAAATGTGATAAAAAAACACCCACAAAATTATTGCACGTATTTTTTTGAAATAATACTTTTGTAACATTTTTCTTGTTTTTATCGCACCGTTAATTGAATGAATATGTGGTTAGGTTGCTATTTTCAAGATGTGATTAACTGGTCAGTCATGTCTTAGCATCTGCCAGGGGCCTGTTTCTAAAAGTAGAACTTCTAAAGTCTGTGTGTCTTTGTTAGATAGAATTTTGGAGCACCTTTCAGGTACTGAGAAGTGTCCCCAAAAGGAAGTGGGAACCTTTATTGACAGTGTAAAGAGAATGTCCATTTAAAATAAAATGAGCACAAATGGTTCTGGATTTTGACCTTTTAGGGAGGTAAAGGAATAGTGACTATGTAATGTTCTAGGGGATATTGTTGGACCAGGAGATATCTGGTTACCACTTTGCAAATTTGAACAAAAGAACATCTTTAGACTGATCTCTGAAAGATATTAGATACAGGTTCCAAGGGGGGCGTGTGTGTGTGTGTGTGTGTGTGTGTAAATGAGGCTTTAAAAAGTTTTCAGTACTTGGAATCTAAGAGTGCTATCCTTTTCTTTCCTACAGATCTCAATGGGATAGATCTCACCCCTGTACAGGATACTCCTGTGGCTTCAAGGAAAGAGGACACATATGTTCATTTCAACGTGGACATTGAGATCCAGAAACATGTTGAGAAACTAACTAAAGGTGGGTAGTAATAGCTAACTGAGGCAGTGTCCACCAACCAGCCTCAGTGTTGTGGACAGAATGCAGTTCCCTCTTCTGCAGAGGGGCCAGGTCCCAGCTGTTCTGCTAGGGTAGGGCTTAACAGTCATACAAGGGTGTAAAATAGAGCTTGACATCATGTCTATGTGCTGGAAACCATCAGCTGACTCCTAGGAATAAGGAGGAATAAAAGCCAATAAAAGTGCACTGTTCTCCTCCACTTTGTATATAGATCCTCTTCGTCTTTCCATTCGTCTAGGTCAACAATGGTACCTAGCTGTGAGTAAGAGTTGGGGGGACAAGTGCATGTGAGTAATTCATGAAGAGCACACACCAACTGCTGAAACTTCCTTAGCCTGACGAAGGGTTTTTGAACTCGAAAGCTTGCTTAATAACTATTCTCCAACTATTTGGGTTGGTCTAATAAAAGATATCACATTCACCCAAGGAACCTTGTCTGCCTGTGAGTAATTCTAGCATTTTAAGAAACATTATTTTTTACCTACAGAATTGGGTGACTCGAAGTAATAGAAGTGATTTTCTTTGGTATATGCAGAGCATGTTTGGTGGTGGGCATATTTTCACGCTAAACAATCTATTGTAAGGCAAGAGCTGATTTTTTTTTTTTCTATGTTACTTTTTCTTACTATAGGTGCAGCTATTTTCTTTGAATTCAAACACTATAAGCCTAAGAAAAGGTTTACCAGCACCAAGTGCTTTGCTTTCATGGAGATGGATGAAATTAAACATGGAGCAATTGTTATAGAACTGTAAGTGACTTAGTATGCAGTTGGATCTATGCTGTAGCTGCCTGTGACACATGCTGTAGAGCAGTGGTTTTCAACCTTTTTTTTTTTTTTTTTTTTTTTTTTTTTTTTTTTTTTTTTTTTTTTTTTTTTTTTTTTTTTTTTTTTTTTTTTTTTTTTTTTTTTTTTTTTTTTTTTTTTTTTTTTTTTTTTTTTTTTTTTTTTTTTTTTTTTTTTTTTTTTTTTTTTTTTTTTTTTTTTTTTTTTTTTTTTTTTTTTTTTTTTTTTTTTTTTTTTTTTTTTTTTTTTTTTTTTTTTTTTTTTTTTTTTTTTTTTTTTTTTTTTTTTTTTTTTTTTTTTTTTTTTTTTTTTTTTTTTTTTTTTTTTTTTTTTTTTTTTTTTTTTTTTTTTTTTTTTTTTTTTTTTTTTTTTTTTTTTTTTTTTTTTTTTTTTTTTTTTTTTTTTTTTTTTTTTTTTTTTTTTTTTTTTTTTTTTTTTTTTTTTTTTTTTTTTTTTTTTTTTTTTTTTTTTTTTTTTTTTTTTTTTTTTTTTTTTTTTTTTTTTTTTTTTTTTTTTTTTTTTTTTTTTTTTTTTTTTTTTTTTTTTTTTTTTTTTTTTTTTTTTTTTTTTTTTTTTTTTTTTTTTTTTTTTTTTTTTTTTTTTTTTTTTTTTTTTTTTTTTTTTTTTTTTTTTTTTTTTTTTTTTTTTTTTTTTTTTTTTTTTTTTTTTTTTTTTTTTTTTTTTTTTTTTTTTTTTTTTTTTTTTTTTTTTTTTTTTTTTTTTTTTTTTTTTTTTTTTTTTTTTTTTTTTTTTTTTTTTTTTTTTTTTTTTTTTTTTTTTTTTTTTTTTTTTTTTTTTTTTTTTTTTTTTTTTTTTTTTTTTTTTTTTTTTTTACCAGGACCCATTAGTAAAGATTGATGGCCAGTCCTGACCCAGTAAATACTTTAAGTAGAAAACAGCCCCAGGCCCCAGCCCCCCCCCAGAGTGGAGTTAGGAGGTAGGTGGGTGGGTGTAGGGTATGGGGGGGCTAAGCAGCCCCTTGTAGGCTGGGACTCTGTTAGCTTACAAAGGAAAATTTAGTTTTCCATGTTTTTCTCTTTTAAAGGAGAATCCATTTTTCAAGTTTATTCATGACCTTTTCATATATTCTTGCAACCCATTTTTGGGTTGTGACCCACAGGTTGAGAAACGCTGCTATAGTGGAACTGGATTGCAGCACAGTATTATTGGCAGATGCCTCCAGTCCTTTCTCACAGCCTTATGGCTTGATATAGTTATTAATTGCCACATCTGGCATAAAATACAAGTTCCTCTTTGTCTCTTCCTGAATTTTTTGTCATTTTATTTTTATCTTCCTTAAAATACAGTTACCAACCCCAGTGTTTGGTTTAGAAGTAACTTGACAAACTGGAAAGAAGGTATCAGGTTACATAGGAGTTCTGCATTTTGAACTGTAGGTAAAGCCATTGGTTCTGATTCTATCAGCATATTAAAAACCTATTGACTGTAGCACAGAACTTCTTTGAAGGGAATCTCTAAGGCTTCAAATACAAGAATAAACACTAGACGTTTAAAACTGTTAGATAAGTTACCTACTGCAATACCTCAGAATATCAGCTTGTTACTTTTTTCTTCTAATTGGACGAGGGAAGCAAACTGGCTAGTTTGACTTCTTTTTAAGTCTAATTTGCTTTCAGGTGCTGGATTTGTCACTGTCTTACTACTGTAATGGATGGCATAAAAACACTGTGGGGCATGAGAATTTGCCATTTTCTTAGCAACAAGAAAAGGGGAAAAATGTTGCTTACCACCTGGAAGAGGAAGATTTAGTTGGCAGTTATCCGTTGCAAAAGGTCATTTTAGGACTGTAGCTGTCTTGCTCTTCCAGATTTAAAAATCTAGTTCCAGAAAAAAATTTCTGAGATGAAACAATTCCATTAAAAGGACAGTCTCGGAGGTAGGGAGGGAGAACTAAGAAGTTTCTCCAATGCTTTTATGATACTCCTATCGCATCTATGTCATGTGAGGAAGTGTTTTAAAATACAAAGTAATTATAGTGGGAAACCTCAGATAGATAAATATAATACAAGCATTTTGCAAGACCCTCTTCTAAACCTAAATGCTTGGTCCAAATTAGGAACTTTAATAGGTTCCAGATTTGTTTTAAATATGGAGAAAGGCAATGAAAGAATACTGGGCAAAGTAAGGTAACAGAATATCATGGAAAGGACTGCTGGGGGGTTTTTCCTCCTTCACACAGACTCTTAATTCATTCAATTTCAGCTAGCTCCGTCTTGTGCTGAAGTATTCCAATGAAAATGAAGGATCTACATTGAGCTGCTCCATAATAGCTGTTTTCATATCATTGTTGATTTGGGTCAGTACCGTTCTGGGTTCTTGACATACTGTGGCAGTGGGATTTGAGTATTATCAGAAGCACGCAAGGATGGTTTTATTCTCAGACATTAGTGCTAGTCTCCAACTTTTTTTCTTGTGGTTGCAGGTACAAAAAACCCACCGACTTTAAGAGGAAGAAACTGCAGTTGTTGACCAAGAAACCACTGTATCTTCACCTCCATCAAACATTGCACAAGGAATGACCCTTTTGTGAGACTTCTATGACCTAAACCACTTGCTACAAATCACAGTATCTCTGCATTTGTGTGTTTGTGTAGCACACTCATCCTTCAACAGGCAGGCCAGTGCCTGTACTCATGCCAGGAGGCCAACTGGGACCATCACATACTGCACAGCAATACCACAGAGTCAAATGTCAAGCCTACCCTTTGAGTACAAGTTTATTCCTGTACCTTCTGGATACAGGTCTTATCCCAAGAGTTCTAAAGAAGCTTTTGACTGATTTTGCTCTGCATAATTGAGCTGTTCATAAAAAAACAAAAAAAAACAAAACCAAAAAAAAAAAACACTGCAAACTTCAGTTTTATACCTTACCATTGTTATCTTTTCCCCCTCAAGTGCTACTAAAGATGGAAGGGTGTCCCTTTTGCCAAACTGATACAGCAATAAAGACACGGCAGGTTATGTAACCCGTTGACATTTTGCTGTGCTATTGCAGCACTCTCATCAGCATATGAGTTCTCTCTTTGGACTGATTGGGAAGGTAGGGGGAAGTGATGCTAGAAAGGGAGTTTTCAAAGATGAATGTTAGTGCTGTGCCTGAGAGGTTTAAAATAGGGAGGATCCTGGTCAAAGAGAGACTCAATCCAACATAAAAATGCTACCCTAGCAAACTTGTTTACAAGCCTTATTTTCTTATCTGGCTCTGGGGAGTGAATGATGAGCTGCAAAGGAGACAACCCAGTGATGACAACTGATTTCTCTCAATCCTGTTCCTGTAGTAATTTGATATGCATCATCTGGTTTAAGTGACTTTCAGGTAAAACTTCCATGTTAAGTGCTAGAATATAAATGCTGATTGCTCCCTTCAACAGCTAAATCTTTTTTTTTTTCTTCCCAATACTACTTTCCCACTTCCCCTAATAAAAGTGGTTGGTAAGGGGAGATAGTGGTTTGCTACACGGATTTCAGTGGTAACAGAGTTGGTCCCCTAATTGTCAACAAGCCCAAATTATTAATGGCAATCTGGCTAATTCAAGCTAGTGACTGAAGATGTACCCTACATCAGAAACTGCTGTTTTTCTGAAGCTGATTGTGGATCCTCGCATACCTCTGTTTGTATGCAAGTCTGGATATTTACCTTGACATTACCTTTTTTTATCCAAGTAGGTAGATAGGATTACCATTTATTTTCTATGTTATTGAGATTCATAATGTAATAAGCTGCAGGTCATTGGCTTATTATAACATGAATATCTGCATCTACCTTTTCCCTTAAAGGGAAAGGTATAGAACCCATTCAAACCTTTCATATATTCAATGAGTGGAATATTTAATGCAGTACTTTAAGGTCTGTGCTTCATGTGTATCTTAAGTAGCGCCTCCATACACTTTGCTATGTTAACAGAAGACCCAGCACCAGGACAATGCAGGGTCAAATGTTAGCTTTAATAATGTGGATGTAAGTATGCTAGTCATTCTTTTCCTTCTCTACTATGTAACTAGCTCTAGAATACTGTTTACAGTGAGTAAAATGAAAAAGATTTCACACTGCTCGTGGCCTACTCAGCTGTTTGCTGGAGCATTCTTTTTGGCCTATTGAAGGGAACTGAGACTCACCAGGTGGTTAAAAACAGGGTATGTCTGAAGTTGGAAGCTGAAGTTTCATCTTGTCTTCTTCCCTTTCTGCTGTTCTGGCATAATTGTGAAAGAATTAACCTCACCGATCAATTATTTTGCAGTTTTCCCAATGCCAAGCATACTTTACTGGAATTTCACTAATGGTTGAAGAGCTTAAGAACAGTTTTCTTTTCCTGTTAACAGTTCTTAAGGGAACCCAGTTTTAACCTTTTAGAACAGAGTATTGAGCTGTAAACACAAACACTAAACTGGTGATTAATTTAGTTTTGTTATAATACATGTAAATAAATGGACAGTGGTGTTCTTCCACTGCGTATCTAGTAGCATTGGAAGGCTAAATGCTCACTAAAATCACAGTATCTTTTGGCTACAGGAATACAACTTTTCTTTCCATAATACAAAAATATGTATAGCCCCAATCAAGCAAAGTAATTGGTTAACCTCTAAGAATATGAATAAACCCAGTTAAGTCAATGGCTGTATTCATGTGGATCAATGTTCTGCTGTGTCCCATAGCCTAGTAAAGGTTCACTGTAAAATGGGAGCTTCTTTCTGTGGTGTACGTTTATGCATCAGAGTACTAGCACGGGTTCATAACTAGTAAATGTTCTGGTATTTGCTATGACCATTAATCACAAGGGAGATGAACAAGTATATCTACTGCCTTCAAAAGGGGCAGGGGACCTGCTGTTTGGGCTTGTAAATCAGCTGGTACAACATAACTGTTACTACTGCAGACTCCTGTAGATATACCAGCCACCTCATTTATTGTAAAGTAGGATTAAAGTTGCAATGGTTTTGCTACATTTGATAAGGGGGACCAGTTGTTGCATCTGTCTCCTTCTAAACTGTACTCACCCCTCCTAAGAATTTACTTCTAAAGCATTTAATCTTTTCTTAAATGGGAGAATCTGTTGAAGATACTAGCATTGTTCCAGAGGGAAAAATAGTAACTTTTAAACTTGAAGGAGGTCACTCTCCAGTGCAGGTGTTTATGCAAGTTAATTAATTTTACTGGCAAAAAAGCCAGTCTATTTTAAAAAAAAAAAAAAAAGCATTTGAACTACCTTTCTAGTTAAACTACACTAATAAATCTTTTTCTCAGCTTGGAGAAATACTCATACACTTCCTTGTGTATTTAACTTGATATTCCATGTACTGTGTTTGTTTTAATAGGATTATAGCTTTGTATTAACTAATTCACACTGGGTGTCTCTATTGCATAGACGTCACTTGTGTTTGCAATTTTTTATTCTTCATGAGCTGACTTTCATTGAAAAACTCCCCTTCCCCCAAACAGACTGTTGCTTGTCACGAAACAAACACAGGTTTGTTTATATTACGTCCAACAGTTCTGCTTTTCATCTTAAAGTCTTCATACACAGCAACATAAAGATTGTATGCAATACCTGAAACTGAAGTCAAATGGCTATTTGCATTTTGGCAGGAAAGCTGTAGTATAATATTTAGTTTGTCCTTTTCCATTATGTTTGACATCCTGCTTGTTGTTCTCCAGTTCTGGTTCCTTTCTGACCATCAAAACAAAGGACTAAAACTTGCTACTCAGTGCAGCCAGTACTAGTTACTGACCATGTTGAAGTACACACTTTAAATAAGAAAATAAAGTAACATTGCTCATCACCCTTACATTGTCAAGTGAAATCCCAATTTTTTTTTAAGTACATAAAACTGAACTGAAGCAGTCTAGTCTGTTGCTTTTTTTTCATCAAGTGTTGGTCTACAAAAACCTGGAATGAAGTAAAGCTTACTGATGATAGGGACAGTGGCAAATATTCCAAATTTGAAGTTCTGCTTTCTTTTTCAGTTGTCTTGTTTTAAACAAAATGAAACTATGCTGCACAACTAGCTACTTAGCTAAATGACTACACCCACTTCTTTGGGTATCCTCCTGGGCACAGGTGATGGCCAGCAGCCTTGGGGTTAGAGGCAGAAGTTAAGGGGCACCACCCTTTATAAACAGCTCGTTAACTAAGTTCCAATTTCCAGTCTCCTTGTATTTTTGCATCTCACAGAAGCTTCAAAAGCTACAGTTCTCTTGCAAGCACATTAGCTTTTTAAGTGCTGTCAACTACCACTAACATTATAATGCAGTTGTGACATGCATCAGTGGCAAACCAGCTTTTTTTTGTTACAATGGCAGATATTAGCTGATGATGAGAAGGGACGTGCTCTGAAAATGGAAGGCAATATGCAAGCAAATATAGAGGTTCTCTTGACAGTAATTGACCTGGATCTAGATTCTTACTGTAAAACAAGTTATGCAATTCATATTTAGCCTTGCTTACAAAATAGGCTTATCTCTTGAACAAGAGGAGCTTAAGGTATTTGAGATGCAAGCCACCTGGATAAAGTTACACTTATGCTCCAGTTAATGAATCAGTGTCTCCACGAGCAGCAATTAACTTGGGGCTAGAACAAAATCTTCAAAGGGTAGCAAAAACCATTCTGCTGTCTTTATTAGAATCTTCTGAGTACAGTGTAATTTGTGCACCTGATCAAAGATCAGCCACCTGAAAAATATGTACACTCTGTGTGTAAGCCAATGGGCTACAGTAACTGCAGGTTAATAATGTGATGGAGAAGGCAGATAGGGTAGCATTTTACTTAAAAAATTATTTCCACAGGAAACGTTCCAATTACATATTTCATGAAATTAAGTCATCACCAACTGGTTACATAGGTTACATTTAATTAAAACCAGCCACACAGGTACTTTTGTATTGCACATTTAGAGCTGCAGGTGGCCCACAGCTGTAAGAAGCAGGTTCAAGTCCATCACAAAATGATTCTTGCAGGCCAAGTTTAAAAGTGATCATAAATGCATATTAAATGTTGGTAGCAACAGGGGAAATCCATCCTGCAAGTATTGTACTATGCTGAAACCAAGTCTAAAGACCAAATTAAAAAGGTAGTTCTCCTTTGAAGCTATTGAGAAGTCTCACTGGAGGAAAGGTGCTAGAGTCTATTCCAATGAGCTGCTTGCCAGAGATGCAAGTTAAGGTTTCTGTTCTGGGGGTTGTGTGTAGTCCCTTGAGCCTGCTGGTGATGGTGGACGCAGAGAGCCTGGTGGGTAGTCTCTAGGTCCAGCTGGAGGCAGGTCTCTGTTTGGAGGAGGAGGGGGATAGTCCCTTGGACCATGTGGGTGTGGGGGTAACCGTGGTCCAGGAGGATAATCTCTTGGGCCAAGAGGGCCCAATGGTCTGAAAGGAGGGGGTCCACGTATATATCCTCTTGGATCTGGAGGTGGCAGAGGACCAGGAGGCAGTTCTCTCATTCCTGGTGGGCCAGGTATGTAGTCCCTTGAAGCTGGAGGTGGTGGGAGAGGACCACGAACTAGAAGGAAAGGAAAAATCTGAATAGTTGAACCACCACTTACAATCTATTAAGGTACTGATTATCCCTCATCGCACTTGTTGGGGGTGAGGGCAGCAGCATTTCATGCACATACATACTCTTCCCGATTTCAGCCTGACATCTTCAGAAAAGGTGTGGAATTATGCATAAGAGACAACACACCCATATGCATTGCAGGCTATAACTTCCATCCTGATGAGTTTTTGCCAACTAGTTTCCTTTTACATTTTCAACTGCCACATCACTCTTGGGCAGTAAGGTAATTGAGGTGGAAGCAGAACCCTTAAAGATGCATTTAAAGAAAGGTTTCTCACTGCTGGAGGAGGATGTGAAGGAGGTACTACTGACAGGAAAAGGGCAGGGCCAGAGAAAGTCAAATTCCAGCACAAGGCAGTATATGCATACCTAAGGGCAGAGGAAGGGGTCGAGGCCCATAGTGTCCACGCAGAGAAGGTGGTGGTCCAAATCTAACTGGTGGTGGAGGTCCAGTCCCCGGAGAATTCATTATGGGTGAATTCCCAATTCCAGAGAAAGTGGGGGGACCCTTCGGCCCTGGATTAGCCTGTGCAAAATTGGTTTGAATCTTGAATGCATAAAATTGTAACAAAACAGTAAAATCTCTGCCCCAAAACGCCCAGAGTTAGAAGCAAACAGCAAAGAACAAGTTGCCAGGACTCCTAGTTCCCCTGTGCAATATATAGCCTTAAAAAGTGGATGCACACTGGTTAGTCCACTCAGGACTGCACACATGTTAACATGCCTTTGAGATAATAGTCTCTACCCTAAGACACAATCCAATCAACTCCCAGTGCTTTTTATTCCTTTAAAATGACCCTGAAATTATATGGCAGTGTTCCTATAGCACTTAAATAAACAACAAATCCCCACTCCCTTAAAGAGAGGCCTAGATCCTTATATACTATATTAGGAATGTATACAAGGTCCTAGACACCACAGATATAAGATTTCATAAGATTATTCACCCTTAATGTAAGTGTCTGCATGCAGTCCTTAAGGCTGCAACATTGGTAAAACATCTGCTATGTAATCAAGACAGTGGTTCTGTGTCTTTAAGTGCATGTTAAAATAAACCTTTACACAGAGGTACAACCCATGGTTAGTTTTGCAGAGCATACAGAAGTTTAGAACACCATGCCCTTTATTCCGTTCTCCAGTCAAAGCAGGGAGTAAAAACCAGCACCGCATCCAGCCTCTTAAGTACTCACTGCATCTGTTTCAGGAGATGAGGATGGAGCAGGAGATACATAAGGGACTTCAGACTCTTTGGGACAGTTTTGCTTTTTTGGTGACAAATAATGACAGTGAGCAGGATACAGACAAAACAGAACATGATAACAGTTAAGAAATAGCAAGTATGGCATGTTACATAAATACTATCCAAACTATTCTCTCAGCTGAACAGAGGAGTTCTCATCTTACCACTCCATCCAATGCTGCGGAGGGCGAGGAGGTTCTGGGCCCACTGTTCATCAAGGCTGCTACCGCAGGGCCAAGATCTGGAAAATCAGTCCAAGTTACATGTTACTGTACTGCTACATTTGGAAGAGGAGCATGGTCTATCAAATTCACTGTTGGGTAACCAGTGACATGGTTGACAGACTGGACTGCTAGGTGGTTGCAGCCTGTGTAACTTACCTGGAGCAGACATTCTTCCAGATAACTCCGGTGGCCTCCTTGGTGCTGGAGGACCATCCACCATGGAGCCTTAAAGGGAAACATGCATGAGGCACATGCTTTTTTGTTCAATTTACTATAAAACAAACATCCACATCTATTTATCA